ATATATATATATATATATATATATATATAATAATTAGATTTTTGTTCTCTTTTTTTTTTTTTGTTGCTAAGATCTATAAATTACGGTCAGATTAACATGTTTCATGATCTTGATTATTGTTAGCATTTATTTACATTTTTGGAAAATTAGTATGATTATTTGATTAAGTTATTTATTAAGTTATTTCTCCGTGTGTGTGTGTGTGTGTGAGTGTGTGTGTGTGTGTGTGTGCGCGCGCGTGTGTGTGTGTGTGTGCGCGCGCGTGTGTGCGCGTGTGTGTTGCGTGCGTGCGTGCGTGTGTGTGTGTGAGGACGGTTCAAACGAGATCGGTGTAACTTTTATTAAGTGTTACACTGCTCAATAACTTTATATTAAATGTGAATTTTGAAATTTCGACCGTTAGATTAAAAATTTATATCTCTTAGATCATATATAACAAATTTTATATTAATCTAAGATGATTTGATACTTCATTCTCATAAAACAAAATTGACGTAATATATACATTTTAAAATATGTTAAAATATGAACACTTTGATTACCTTCAAGTTGTTCAATTTTAACAAAATTTGACATAAATGATCTAAGAGATATGAACTTTCAATCTAACAGTCTGATTTTCAAAATTCATATATAATATAAAATTATTAAGCGGTATAACACTCAGTAAAAGTTACACCGGTTATGTTTGAACCTTCCTCTCTCTATATATATATATATATACACACGTGTGTGTTTAGTATTTATTATGACTTTTTTCACTGTTTTAGATGTCGTGTCAATATCTAGACGAAACCAAAAACAAAAAACATGTAAAATCAACAATTCAATACATCAAAATAATGTATTACTGATTACGACACAACCTTGAGACGTCTTGCTAGTTCATTGGCATGTAAAATGTTGGCCAACTTTGATTGCCCATATGCACGCCAGCTGTTATAACTGTAAACAACAAAGCAAATAATCACTTGCACACATACTACAATTCTAGTGGTTGTATGCTTAAATTTAAATATTAGAAATAAAATATAAATACTTTTGAAATAACAGTCATCACAAAATAAGCTTTTCTTTTATTAAGTTTACAATAAAATAAATATAGGACTATATATAATAATAATAAAAGATTAAAGTAGAAACATATTAGGATCACGAAGAATACGATGTTATATTTATATAATTATTCTCTATTTTATTATTATTATTATTATAAATTAATATTAATTAATAAATTATATTTATATGTTAATATCAATTATATTGTACATTATTATTAATTTATGAGTAATGCATATTTGGTTTCTGATGAATAATCCATGATGGGTTGGACTATTCAGTAATTCCTTGAAAGATCTATGGTCTTTATTGGAAAAGATATAGAACTGGTATCCCATTAATCAATTCATAGAAAGAAAAAATTAGCAATAATGTTTATCATTTGAATAGTTGACCAAATAATAGAAAGAAATTAACAATAATAAAATTAAAATCTCTACATACTTATTTTTTTTTGATAAATTTCTAGAAAATTAAGACTCAATAAACCGTTTTTCCATTAAAAAACACATACTAGTATAACTTATCATCATATATTGTATTTGGGATACTTCTTACCTTGATTGATCATTAATTTTGTCAAATAGGATTCCTTCACGATATGTTAAACGATGACCAACTGATGAAACATTAACAATTCTTCCTTGTATCTTACTTTCTTGTGTTGTTCTCTTCATATTATCCAACAACATGTTTGTTAAAAGAAAATGCCCTGTGTAAATCATGTTGGATAAAATCTAAAGAATTAATATTATTTTGACAAATTTTAACCACTCACCTTTAAAGAAATAATATAAAAAGTAATTGACATTTTATGACAAATTTTAAATCTAAAAGAACTACACAAAGATTCCATGTAAGAATTATTTATTATTATTTCCAAGGTATTCCACCTGATCTAAGATAATGATGCACACATTCACACGAGTACATATTTTTATGTTTCTTAGATAACAATATATATATATATATATATTATATATATATATATATATATATGAGAGATCTATTTACTCCACGAATAAGTTTACCTAGACTTACTCCATTCAATAAATTATATATTCTACATCAAATTTCAACGATCCAACCATCGAATTTAAAGTTCTTAATACATAGATCAAATTTGAAATTTTTTAAAAGTTTTGAAAATTATTTGATACTTCATTTCATTAATTCAAGTTGACAGATAATCGTAAAATCATTTTATATATTGATTTTAATTAATTAAACGAAATATCAAATGATTTTCAAAATTTTAAAAATTTGCAAACTTATTATGTTTTAAGAACTTTAAATTCAACTGTTGGATCGTTGAAATTTAATGTAGAATATGAGTTATTAAACAGAGTAAGTTTAAGTAGACTTACTCATAAAATAAATGAATTTCTCTTCATATATATATATAGAGAGAAAGAAAGAAAAAATAAAAATAAAAAAAAAAGAAGGAAGAGGAAGAAGAGGAGGGGAGGTTTTATGTGTGTGTATGTTGCTAAATATAAGAAACATGTATGCATGTATAATGCACATATGTGGGCATACACCACCCACCTAAGGATACTCATAAATTTCATATTATAAAAATTAGATAACTTTAACATACCTATATAATTTATAGCAAATTGAAGTTCAATGCGATCCTTGGATAGTGTGAAAGGGGTTGCACAAATCCCTGCATTATTTCTTTGAATTGCAAAAATAAATAAATCAAGAAAACATTAATTACTTGTAGATTTTTTTCGTGAATGGCAAATTTGAGATATATATGTGTGCATAAAGAATGATAACGATAGATACAGACAACTATATTAATTGGTAACATAAAAAATAAAATAAAAAACTAATGTAGTACATATATTGTTCTTACATCAAAATATTCAATGAAATACCATATGAAGTAAATTTGGACACGAAATTTCGAATCGATGTCATTGAACTAAGATCTAACTCCATGATATCAATTTTAGCTGTAGGAATCTCATTAAGTATTGCTTTCTTAACATTTTTGGCATCAATCATTTCTATCACTCCCATAACAACATGAACACCACGTAAGGCAAGAACACGAGCAGTCTCAGCACCAATACCACTGGATGCTCCTGTTGTTAAATTGAATAATAATTATCAAATACACAATTGTAAGATGTAAGCATGTATAAAATGAAAATTTTTATAGAACTTCTTATTGCTTAAAAATTGTGCAAGTATATTATGATAAAGTATAAGTATGTGTATGATTTTGTAAAATTTTTCTCTCTATTCTTTATAGCATGATATCTTATGATTTGCTTAAATCTTAAAATTAAATTGAACATCTCTATTTGTTAGGACATTTCTAATTAGAAATGTTTGTTAAGGTGCTTCAATGAAATTTCAGTTGTTTATAACGACTCTTCCACCGGAATAATCCCAATAAATGACAATAAAAGTTATTTTATAAAAAAATTCGGTTGCTTTAGTAAGAAATTATTCCTTATCATTAGAAAACAATAATTTAGACCCAATATAAGGGTCACCAAACAACAATTACATAATCAAGATTAAATTTTAAAAAATATATATAATTATGAATTTCTTGAAAATTTATATAATCCTATGAAAACTAATAATTACACATAAGCTGTACTAATTAATGAGATGCTCCCATTATACTTGCCCATTATAGTTACTCTCACTATTTTATAATAAAGATATGTGGAAACAACATCATTTGTGTCACCAACTTAGATAAGTAAGAATTTCACTTTTGTCTACTGTGAACAATCCTAAAAATGTTTTTAATATTCTAATAATTTTATAATAAAAATAATACAGAGATAATACTTAAATAGTTAAAAGTATCATCTTTTTTTTATTTATTTGTTCATACCCTTAAAAAAACTCATGGCGGGCCCTTACCCATTCAATTCAAATGAACTCCCCAAACCTACCTCCACTAACTCCAACTTTCTTTACTCACAAACTCCCAAAATCTACTTCCACCCACTTCTACTCTGAAACTCACACCCAAACCCTATCTAAACATATCTTCAGGGCTCCACTCACTTCAACTCTCTTTTCTCGTATTTCTCTCTACCAACCATATCCTGATACAGAAGAACATACACAACACAGACATTGACCTCTAAAGAAAAGGAGAACATTGAAAATGAAAACACAAGACAGAATGAAAGTTCCAAAACAAAAAAAAAAAAAATAGAAGAAGAAAGAAATAACCACAGAAATTTTTGAAGGAAAAAAAGTTGAAAAAGAGAAAGAAAATAATGACCTGTAACAATAGCAGTGAGACCAGTACCATCAACTCCCTCAGTAACTTCCTCAGCAGTAGAAGATGATGAAAAACCAGAAGCTCCTTTTCTGCTAAATGGCCACATTTTGTCTGATTTTGTGTCTAAACTTCCTCACACTGTTATACATATATAAAGGATGCTATCAAATTACATATAGGCACGTGGTCGTGCATATATTTAATTCCATAAATTATTCTTTTAATTTCTCTTTTGTACTGGTGGACACGTGTAATTAAATTGGTTAAATAACTCTTTTTTCTTTTAATGTTTAGTGATGAAAATAAAGGTATATGATCTGACTTATCCTATTTAATAGAAATAGATTTATATTTATAAAAAGAGTTTATTTATATAAAAAGGTTAAAATTAGACTTATAAAAAATTTTATTAGGTTTAATAGATTAACCTATTTATTTATGTAATACAATAAAAATTATATATATATATATATAGATATTATTAAAAATATAAATAAACAAATAAATTTATAAAACAAAAAATTTATCATTTAAAATATATTTTTTATAAAATTATTTTTTTAATTATAAGTTTATAAGTTTACAATATGTACATGAATATACATCAACATATATACATAATTACACATGAATTGTTCTTTCAATAGAAAATTATTTAATTTTTTTCTTAAATTTCTTTTAAAATTTGAATTTTAATAGTATCGAGTAAACTATATTTTAAAAATGTTTTTTTTTTATTTTTAAAAATTAAGTTTATTGATCTAGTTAACATTAATAATTTAAATAGACTTTTAAATAGACCAATAGGTCAGGTTAGGTCAGGCTTTCAAAAAGGTCAGGTCAGACCTATAAAAAAGTTCATGATAGATAATAGGTCAGATTTAAGCTTTAATTTTACGAAATAGACTTAACCTATATATTTAAAGATTAGGTTAACCTAACTTATTTCCATCCCTATGCATGTTGTTGATATAATATTGTACAAGTGAACACACATATATTTAATCCACTTAATTACTCTTTTGACGGGTTATTTTATTTAATTAATTTAATTTACGGCTGTATTAGACAAAATTAGGATCTCAAATGAATTTTAAATATTTGTTTATTATAAAATGGTGTTTTTGGTATTTAATTAACATTTTTAATATAAAAATTTAGATGATATTTAATTAAGATAATCAATATTTTATTTTTAAAAATACATCAAAATTTGATAGTATTTAATGAAAAAATTATAATAAAAAAAAAAGTCTGCTAGTATTAAAAAATATATATTTCAATAGATTGTTTTGAATGATGAATTTTTCAAAACTAATTTAATTTACATATAATTTAAACTTTTGAGTTTTGTCTGACATGATTTTTTCATTGGGTTGAAACAAATTGACTCGACCTTTTTTAAGTTTCAAAATAAAGAGTCCAACCTGTAAACGCCCGATTTATATAATAATAATTATATATTTTTTTATATAATATTTTTGCAATTATATCATTAACAAATTTTTTTAATGCAGATAAAGATAAATAAAAAGAATATTTTGTGAATTTATTACATGACATATCGTTCTAAAATATTTACAATAATGTACTATTTTACACATTATTTCTTTCTTCCACTTCTATTACAATATTTACATTGATAGTGGAAAGAAAATTACAATTGAAATAATATGGCTGGCAAATAAAATTATAATAGATCCATCAAATAGCCTCCATATTCCAATTTCTTCCAAATAGGACAACAGTAATAACAACTACAAAATGATCTGGAATCTCAAGTATCCATCTATTTTATAATATATTTAATTTTAAGAACAAAGAAAAGAGAGGAGTAAGAACAATATCTAATAAATACAATAATTCAAAAGAATATATAGAATTATTTATAATCAATATTAAACATATATATATATGTATATATATATATATATATATATACAGATCATATATTAGATTTTCATGATACAATAAAATTTGAATTATACTTGTAGTGACTAGTCAGAATAAATGAGTATCATCATAATACCAACCAACAAAAGGATATTTCACCTTAACCAACAAGAGAATATTTCACCTTCATTCCTTACTCATTTAAATCCCCAAGGTCAAACCTCCAGCTACAAATAATTCAAACTTTATCTTCTATGGCCATAGAATAATATTTATCTTCATAAATACATGAAGAAATAACAACGATATGAGTCAAAGAGACTTTAACAAAACTATATTATTATAAAATATATTTACAATAAATATATTTACGTAACAAGAATATATTAAGAGTATCAATCATATAAATGAAAATGATAATCATTATAGAATAATTAAACAACAAAAAATATGAACACCTTAATAATTATTATGAGTAAAAATAATCATAGGTTAAGCAAATAAATGAGGTTAGGGACACCCCACTAAATAAATATACATAAAAAATAACATAAATAAATAAACATAGTAGTATATAAAATTTTAAAGAGATACAGTTCTCCTCCCCCTTACCTTAGAACATTGATTTATCTGCGTAAAAACTTCAAGATCCTTTTCCTACTCATTTTTCCTCTCTTTCCTTCTTTCTTTCTCTTTCTTTCTGTCTCTCTCTCTTTCTCTTTCTCTCTCTAAGTTTTCACCACTGGCTGTTATAATTTTTCATAGCCCCCCTCGTTCCTATTTATAGAAGTTCGGAGTGGCCAGAACAGCCCGTTCTGGACCCATTCATCCTATGTAAAATTTAAAACTGGAACGGCCCATTCTGTGGTTAAAATTTTCTCATAAAGACCATAACTGGAACGGCCTGTTTCCAACTAAGATCTTTAGGCATTTTTTAAGCTTGGAACGGCCCGTTCCGCTTTGAGAACGGCCCGTTCTGTGCTAACAAATATAACTCTCTTTGAAAATTTAGAACGACCCGTTTTTTGGCCTTCAAAAATAGGCCTCTTTACTAATTTGGAATGGCCCGTGCCACTTTTGGAATGGCCCGTTCTGGGCCAACAAACACAAGTCTTTTCAGAAATTTGGAATGGCTCGTTCCACTTTTGGGAACGGCCCGTTCTGAGCCTTCCAAATACCAGAATATTATTTTATTATTTTTAATTATAAAATCTCTTTAATAATCCCCATAAATATTTAAAATACATAATAATCAATTATTAAAATCTCTAAAATATTCTATATAAAAAGAACTCTTTTTATTAATTAATAACTATAGGAAAATAATTTTCATAAATATAAAAATAATAACTAACCATTGTATAAAATTTGGGATGTTACACAACCTAACTTGACTTATGGGTCAATGAATTAGTCCATGGTGCCTGGTTAATATATATTGATAGTCTTATAAGTTAATGGATATAATAAATTTGAATGTATTGTTCATATTCAGTAGTATGAATGAGAAAATATCAATGAATGAAAGATTAGATATAAAAAAATGTTATTTACGAGGACATGAAATTAGAATCAATTGTTTATAAAAGATAGAAAAAATTGTATATATGATTTTATTTTCTTTACTCAAACTTTATTATTTGTTATTTTTTTATTAATTCTTTTATTTTTTTAAAAATTCAAGTTGTCCCTTGAAATGTCATATAATCCTTTGAAATCTTATAAAATTCTTTGGATATAAATATATTAAAATCTATATTAATTATAAAAGTATTTAAAAAATCTTAAAAATCATTACATTCCTACAAGGTCTTTTAAAATAATCTTGAAAGTCATTATATTCATACAAAGTCTTTTAAAATTTGTAAGAATTTTTCATGCTAAAATAGTCTTATGAAATTCCAATTCAAAATACCTTAGTTTATTTATTAAAAAATTAAATTTAATTCCTTAATTTTAAAAAAGGCTAAATTGTGTAACAATGTGTATTTTATTAATAATTGTTGTTTTATTATTTCAAATGTTGTGATTAATTGATTAGTTGTTGTGGAATACTAAGTATTTAGGAATCCTAATGAGTTATGTTGTGTGAAGAGTTGCTCTAAGCAAAAGTCAAGTTAACCAGTAAGAAAGATATATAAGATTTATTTTTTAGTAGTGAATTTCATAAGTTCATTTTTTAAGAACTTAGAGAGAGACTCTAGAGAGAAGCGCTTTGGTGCTTGAGTTTCTTTCTTCTCCTATTGATTACCTTAAGTGTTCAAATTCCTCCTGGAGTGTGACTGAGTAGAAGAGCTTTGATTCAAGGCTTCAGAGGCAAGGATCTGAGCTTGTGATTCCTATGCAGAATTGATCTAAGCTTGTGATATTCCTATGCATAATTTACTTAGAAAGGGTTTTCTTCTTCTTTTTCTTCTTATTCTTCTTCTTCTTCTTCTTCTTCTTCATTAAATTCATGGTTGTATTGATGAATCTTAACATGGAACTTGTGTATGGTGTGTTTTGGTATTTTCTTGTCTATGTTGAAAGAAAGTGATGATTTGATTTATTTATGAGATTCATGTGGTTATTCTAATTGGAAATGAGATGCTTATGTTGTGTAATTGTGATGAATGACATTTTTTTGAGTTTTAGGTATAGACTAAGTCAAATCGTGAATCTGCCAAGGGCAAAATTCACCATTACGTCAAGCACAACTTCAAGGTATTGAAAGTGATGCAAGCTAGAGGCTCTTTGCCTCACTAATACCAGGCACAAAATTAGTAGTGTCAAGTGTGAGTTAGAGGAGGGCTCCTTGACTTGGTCACCTTAGGAGTGAGTCAAATAGCGTTAAGCATGGATGCTCTTGGAGCTCTCTAACTTAATGATGTTGGACCTTAGTTGATTGGCATCATGCATTATCAAGATAGAAGCTATCTTCCTAGATGACGTTGGGCACCAATATAGTGATGTTGGACATGAGTCTGGCAGCGACTTTCTACCTAAAATCGAGTCGGGTGTAGGTTTTTCTACACCAGACATGATTAAAAAAGGAGTCTTTATCTCATTCATGTCAGAAACTAAGTACAAGCAAACTAGAGGTTCTTTGCCTCAATGATGTCAGGCACGAGGAGAATGGAACCGAATGTGAAATGCTTAATGAAATTTTGTTGCTTATTTGGTAAATGTTGAAAAGAAAGTTGTAGATTGAGTTATTCATATGTTGTGTGTTGTGGTGTAATTCTAGTTCATGATGTATATTGATCTAGGATGGAGGATGTTGATACTAAGTTGCTTAAAGTGGTGAGTTGCATAAAAGTTAAATTGTATGTTGTGTAGTGTTGGAAATAACTATGTGGGGAATTCCTAAGGCATGGTGTTGAGTTGTATTGATTGACTTAGGATTAGAGGAGAAATTATTTTAAAGGTTGAATATCCCACTATGAGGATATGGTGTTGTGGTGACCTAAGAACCCAAGCGTTGAAAACCTTTATTGAGAAGTTGACTCTTGAAGTGGATTGTTGAGCCTCAAGATACTTAGTTGATACAATATAGGGGTTAGGTCGAGTTATATTATTTATGAAGCGACCAATATGTTCATCCGTATAGGGCAAGGTCCAAACTATACATGTAAAAGTGACCAAACCAAGTAAGGTACAAGGTCGGGGGCCATAATTAATCCCTACCTATTATTAGAAATGGCATATTATATGGAAGGTAGTAGAAGGGCTAATCCTACAGAAGACATAGTTATGCATGCTAAAGTCATTATAGACTCACACCCAACTTATTCTATCCTAACAGGAATATTAGACTTTCTTAATTTAAGTGATGAAATTCAAGAAACTATGTTGTGTTGTAGATTTATATCCAAATTTGTTGTTGATCTAGTAAGCCCAAAAAGATTGCTTTGTTAAGTTGATTTTGTAGGGTCAAGCCACTTAGACTGCTATTGTATTGTGTAACAGCCCAATTTTCACAGATTATTTGAGGGCCCAATAGGGGTAATTTAGTAGCCTAGAACGGGTCGTTCCCAAATCGTAACGGGCCGTTCCAAACGATTAAAATGAGAGATGTTGTATCCCAGAACAGGCCGTTCCCAAACTGGAACGGGCCGTTCCAAAATACAAAAATGGCTACAAATTTTAGATGGGAATGGGGCGTTCCCAAATTGGAACGGGGCGTTCCAGAGTTGAGAACGGGCCGTTCCAAAATATGACCATTGTGAGTATTAAATGCACCCCAGAACGGGCCATTCTGGTTTGAGAACGGGCCGTTCTGGATGTGATTTTTACCCATGATTTAAGGGTCCAGAACGGGCCGTTCCAGATTTGGAACAGGCCGTTCCGGCGAAGCCTGATGCCTATAAATTGAGCTCTCTGTCACTCCCAAAAAGCACACCTCTCATTTTCTGATTTCCTTTCTTCTGCTCTCTCTTCTTTCCCTCTATTTTCTACTTCAGACCGAGGGGAATCTAGCGGAGGAGATCAACTAGATCCTTAGTTTCAGCTACTGTTTATCCAGGTACGGGTGAAAAGGGGATTATTTATATGTAGAGTTACATGAGGGAATTGGGTAGAGGAAGAGTCCCTTAGGATTATGAATAATTTTATAATTATTTCTGTTTGGAGAATTACTGATCTTATGTGATTCTGTATGTATTTAGGACTACGAATATATGATTTATTTGTAAAAATGATGATCTGGGAGAGAGAACGAAATTGTAGAAAAGTGCATGTGAGTTAGGTTTTGGAATAGTTGGGGATTTTACCGTTTATTTAAAGATTATATTAAATTGCTAATTCTATTGATTATTATATTAATTTATGAATGTTATTATTATATTATTTGATAAAATTGATGATCTAGGTGAGGATTCATGGTAAATTACTTGAAGGGTATGTGAACCACCATTTTGTGTGGATTGTGTTTGTATTGTGGAATTGAGATATGGATGTGGATGTGGATATGGATGTGAATGTGGATGTGAATGAGAATGTGATTATGGTTCCTCACACTTGTGACCAGGGGTGGCACGACCTTAGGCAAGAAATGCTACAGGCGTGACCTTGGCATAGTATGGGATGGGTGATTCCTCATGCTTATGTTGGGGGTGGCACGACCTCGAGCAAGAGATGTTGCAGGCGTGACCTTGGCACAGTGTAGGATGTGTGATTTCTCATGCTTATGTCGGGGGTGGCACGACCTTGGGCAAGAGATGCTACAGGCGTGACCTTGGCATAGGGTGGGATGTGTGAGGCAATTAATGCTTATGTCGGGGGTGGCACGACCTTGAGCAAGAGATGCTACAGGCGTGACCTTGACATAGGGTTAATTGTAAGATTTGTGTGGATTGTGACGGATTGGTGTAGATGTGAAGATGAATGATTGATAGAATGATGATATATCTATAGAAATGCTTGTAAATAACATTCCAAGTTATGATGAGATGATGTTGTGGATTTCCTTGTGTGCTTTATATATAAATGTTTTCTTTTCTCACCGTACAATTTGTGGATGTTTTAGGTGAGGAAGATCCAACTTTGAGTGGCATCTAGAATGTCAACCATTGAGTTGTGGGTGTGCTCTGATATTGTGACATCGGGGCAGAGAATTCTAGGATAAATTTTTATATGTATTTAGAGTTATAACTTCTCTTTTGAAAGCAATTTGTAAACTCTCAAGTTTTACTTTCTAAATTTCATTTTTAATTATTTTGGTTATTTACGAAGGTTTTATGTGAACCCTTTTACCCACGTTGAATATTTTATTCTTTAGTTTATTTACAAGATTTATTTATATATGTGTTGGGGGTAGTAAGGGTGTCACATTTAGTGGTATTAGAGCCAGGTCGATCCAATCGGCCGTGAGTTATGTGTCTACTATGCTTGTTTGGTAGATAATTGATGGAATGAGTTGGTTGTGGAATTTGTTGATATGTTAGTGCAATGATTGATTAAGTTTGTTGTTTATTTAATTAGAGTATAATTGTTAACTTTTCTGGGGATCAGAAAAGTATAATGGCAGGAGGTAGGAACGATCGTGCAATCACTGATGCTCTACAAGCGATGGCTCAGGCTCTTGGTAATATGAATCAACGACTAGAGATAGATTGGCTGGAGAGATTCTAGTGAAATAATCCACCAAGCTTCCATGGAGGTTATAATCCTAATGGAGCTGCTGACTGGATTTTTGAAGTTGAAAAGATATTCCAAGCTATGGGATGTCCTTTGATACAGAAGGTGACTTTGGCTGCCTTCATGCTTTCTGGAGAGGCTGGTATATGGTGGCAAGGTGCTTTGCAAAGAATGATGGCTGCAGGTACCCAAGTGAACTGGGAGAATTTCAAACAGCTATTCTTGGAGAAATACTTTCCGCGAGATGTGAGACATAAGAAACAGGTGGAATTCCTTGAGTTGAAGCAAGGAGAAAATTCTGTGGCTGAGTATGTGACTAAGTTTGAAGACTTGGTCAGATTCTGTCCTATGTATGATGGTGTGGGCAATGAGGAGGACAAATGTGTGAAGTTTGTGAGTGGTCTTCGCCCTGAGATTAAACAAGTTTTCAATTACCAAGGGATCACTCAATACCATGATCTGGTGAACAAGTGTCAAGTCTATGATGAGGACAACCTGTAACATCCCAATTTTTATTTCACTTTTTATTTATTTATTTTTAATTAAGGGTATTTTGGTAATTTTACAAAGGTAATAGGGGCGATTTAGTAGCTTGGAATGGGCTGTTCCGGAAATGGAACGGGCCGTTCCAAACTACCAGGTTGTGTGTGAGTTAATAGCCCAGAACGGGCCGTTCTCAAGGTAGAACGGGCCGTTCCAGACGATTAATTATGCCTTTAACCCTAAATGAGAACGGGTCTGGAATGGGGCATTCCCAAAATTATGGCCGTTGGGGGTAATTAATGCACACCAGAACGGGCCGTTCTGGTTTTGAAACGGGCCATTTTGGATGTATTTTTTAGCCACGTTTTAAGGGTCCGGAACGGGATACACAACACAGACATTGACCTCTAAAGAAAAGGAGAACATTGAAAATGAAAACACAAGACAGAATGAAAGTTCCAAAACAAAAAAAAAAAAATAGAAGAAGAAAGAAATAACCACAGAAATTTTTGAAGGAAAAAAAGTTGAAAAAGAGAAAGAAAATAATGACCTGTAACAATAGCAGTGAGACCAGTACCATCAACTCCCTCAGTAACTTCCTCAGCAGTAGAAGATGATGAAAAACCAGAAGCTCCTTTTCTGCTAAATGGCCACATTTTGTCTGATTTTGTGTCTAAACTTCCTCACACTGTTATACATATATAAAGGATGCTATCAAATTACATATAGGCACGTGGTCGTGCATATATTTAATTCCATAAATTATTCTTTTAATTTCTCTTTTGTACTGGTGGACACGTGTAATTAAATTGGTTAAATAACTCTTTTTTCTTTTAATGTTTAGTGATGAAAATAAAGGTATATGATCTGACTTATCCTATTTAATAGAAATAGATTTATATTTATAAAAAGAGTTTATTTATATAAAAAGGTTAAAATTAGACTTATAAAAAATTTTATTAGGTTTAATAGATTAACCTATTTATTTATGTAATACAATAAAAATTATATATATATATATATAGATAATATAAGGGTCACCAAACAACAATTACATAATCAAGATTAAATTTTAAAAAATATATATAATTATGAATTTCTTGAAAATTTATATAATCCTATGAAAACTAATAATTACACATAAGCTGTACTAATTAATGAGATGCTCCCATTATACTTGCCCATTATAGTTACTCTCACTATTTTATAATAAAGATATGTGGAAACAACATCATTTGTGTCACCAACTTAGATAAGTAAGAATTTCACTTTTGTCTACTGTGAACAATCCTAAAAATGTTTTTAATATTCTAATAATTTTATAATAAAAATAATACAGAGATAATACTTAAATAGTTAAAAGTATCATCTTTTTTTTATTTATTTGTTCATACCCTTAAAAAAACTCATGGCGGGCCCTTACCCATTCAATTCAAATGAACTCCCCAAACCTACCTCCACTAACTCCAACTTTCTTTACTCACAAACTCCCAAAATCTACTTCCACCCACTTCTACTCTGAAACTCACACCCAAACCCTATCTAAACATATCTTCAGGGCTCCACTCACTTCAACTCTCTTTTCTCGTATTTCTCTCTACCAACCATATCCTGATACAGAAGAACATACACAACACAGACATTGACCTCTAAAGAAAAGGAGAACATTGAAAATGAAAACACAAGACAGAATGAAAGTTCCAAAACAAAAAAAAAAAAATAGAAGAAGAAAGAAATAACCACAGAAATTTTTGAAGGAAAAAAAGTTGAAAAAGAGAAAGAAAATAATGACCTGTAACAATAGCAGTGAGACCAGTACCATCAACTCCCTCAGTAACTTCCTCAGCAGTAGAAGATGATGAAAAACCAGAAGCTCCTTTTCTGCTAAATGGCCACATTTTGTCTGATTTTGTGTCTAAACTTCCTCACACTGTTATACATATATAAAGGATGCTATCAAATTACATATAGGCACGTGGTCGTGCATATATTTAATTCCATAAATTATTCTTTTAATTTCTCTTTTGTACTGGTGGACACGTGTAATTAAATTGGTTAAATAACTCTTTTTTCTTTTAATGTTTAGTGATGAAAATAAAGGTATATGATCTGACTTATCCTATTTAATAGAAATAGATTTATATTTATAAAAAGAGTTTATTTATATAAAAAGGTTAAAATTAGACTTATAAAAAATTTTATTAGGTTTAATAGATTAACCTATTTATTTATGTAATACAATAAAAATTATATATATATATATATAGATATTATTAAAAATATAAATAAACAAATAAATTTATAAAACAAAAAATTTATCATTTAAAAGGAACAACAGAAGTTGGAGGGAGCGCTAGCAAACCTAGGGTGATGGGAAAGGTATTTGCCTTAAGTGGTGCTGAAGCTACTCAATCCAAAGACTTAATCCAGGGTATGTGTTTCATCGATGGAACTCCTCTAATTGTCTTGTATGACTCTAGTGCGACTCACTCTTTCATATCGCATGCGTGTGTGTCAAAATTTAAAATTACCTGTTTCTGCTTTGTCTTTTGAATTAATAGTAGTGTTTTCCATAAACTTAGTACCAGGAACAAGACCTATTTCTATTGCACCTTATAGGATGTCACTCGTAGAGTTAGTGGAGTTTAAGAATCAAATAGAAGACTTGTTGGAGAAGGGGTTTGTGAGGCCTAGTGTATCACCTTGGGGAGCACCTGTACTCTTAGTTAAGAAGAAGGATGGTAGCATGAGATTGTGTGTAGATTATCGCCAATTGAATAAGGTAACCATTAAGAATAAGTATCCATTGCCTAGGATAGATGATCTTATGGACTAGTTGGTGGGTGCTTGTGTATTTAGTAAAATTGACCTTAGATCAGGGTACCATCATATTAGAGTTAAGGGTGAGGATGTACCTAAGACAACATTTAGGACTCGTTATGGACACTATGAGTATCTAGTAATGCCTTTTGGTGTGACGAATGCTCCTGCAATTTTTATGGATTACATGAACCAAATTTTTCATCCGTATTTGGATAAATTTGTAGTTGTCTTCATAGATGACATACTAGTGTATTCCAAGACTAAAGAGAAGCATAAGGAACACTTAAAGGTAGTACTTCAAACTCTCAGGGAGAGACAACTTTATGCCAAACTGTCTAAGTGTGACTTTTGGCTAAAGGAGGTGAGTTTCTTAGGGCATGTGATTTCATGTGGGGGTATAGCAGTAGATCTATTTAAAGTTGAGGCGACGTTTAAGTGGGAGACACCTAAGTCAATTAGTGAGATTAGGAGTTTCCTTGGATTGGCCGGATACTATAGAAGATTCATAGAGGAATTGTCTAAGTTAGCATTACCCTTGACAAGTTTAACTAGGAAAGGAGTTGTGTTTGTTTGAGATAGTAAATGTGAGAATACTTTCCGAGCCCTTAAGGAGAAGTTGACTAGTGCACCTGTTTTAGTGTTGCCTGACCTTAGTAAGACTTTTGTGGTTTATTGTGACGCTTCTAAGATGGGTTTGGTTGGAGTGTTAATGCAAGAAGGAAAGGTAGTATCTTATGCATCTAGGCAATTGAAAATACATGAGAAGAATTACCCCACTCATGATCTTGAATTAGCAGCTGTAGTATTCATACTTAAGATTTGGAGACATTATTTGTATGGTTCAAAATTTGAAGTGTTTAGTGATTAGAAGAGTCTTAGGTATTTATTTGACAAAAAAAAATTAAATATGAGGCAAAGGAGATGGTTAGAGTTCCTTAAGGACTATGATGTTGATCTTAGTTATCATCCGGGCAAAGTCAATGTGGTGGTTGATGCTTTAAGTAGGAAATCATTGCAATTGTCTTCCCTTATGATTAGAGAGATGAATCTTTTTGGCTCAATTAGAGATTTAAGTTTGGCTTATAAGGTTACCCTTAGTAGTGTGAGACTAAGTATGACTTGAGTAACGACTGGATTGTTGAAAGAAATTGGAGAAGCATAATTAGTTGATTCATTTTGGTGACAAGATATGAGATTATAGGATAAGGTGATAGATAAAAGTTTGACTTGGGTGTAGATGGAGTGGTGAAATTAGAGATCTGATATGTATACCTAGTGAACTTACACTTAGGTGCTTGATCTTTAGAGATGATCATAGAAGTAAAACCAATATTGTGGCAGATGCCTTGATTATGATGACCTCTGATATATCATTTTTTATGATTTAAGGGTTGGATTTGATTGAAGAATTTAGAGACTTATGCTTGGTGTGTGAGATTATCCTTAGGAGCATTGAATTGATTATGTTGAAAGTGACTAGTGAATTAATGGATGAGATTAGAGAAGCCTAGGAGTCAGATCCTTTCTTAGGAAACCAAGTGGAGAAGATTGGTAGAAGTATAGATAACCATTTCTGAGTAGAAATCGATGTTGTTTTGAGGTGCAAGAACAAACTTGGGTGCTTAGTAACCTTGAATTAAGAAAGATGATCTTAGAGGAAGGACATAAGAGTACTCTTAACATTCATTTAGGAGCTACTGAGATGTATCGGGACCTTAGGAGGATGTATCAGAGTGGTGCAGCGGAAGCATAGTGGCCTAAGATAAAGAGAGGAGTAGAGAAATTTGTATATTCCTGTTTAGTATGCTAGAAGTCTTTAGAAATTTTTGTAACACTTAGACGTTCCATTTTGGAAGTGAGATGGTGAGTGGATAGACTTTAGTTATAGGTTTGTCTGAAATTCTTAAGAAATTGATTCTTTTTGGGTAATAGTGGATAGACTCACCAAGTTTGCTTGTCTTACCCTTGTTGATAATAGACATTCCTTGGTGAAATTGATAGAGTTGTACATTTATAAGATAGTGAGGTTGCATAGGAAATTAGAAAGCAAGATGTAAGGAGTCTACTCATTTATGTTTTTAGGTGAATTTCGGGGACAAAATTTCTAAAAGGAGGGGAGAATTGTAACAGCCCAAATTTCACAGATTGTTTAAGGGCCCAAAGGCCCAATAGGGGTAATTTAGTAGCCCAGAACG